TCGATGGGAAAGTTCCTTATCACACATAGATAGTTCCATTTCCACCACTGCTTCCAGGGCCAGATCCCTCAGTTATTGATCAACCAGAGCACACATGCACCGAGAAAAACTACAGTATGAGAATGACAAATGGAGGAAATGACAGTTAATCCACTGAAACAGCACAGGACACTGAAGGGGAAAAACACCTGCTCAGCACTTTCCAAATCACAGATTAACTACATAAAATCAACACGTTTCATAAATTATGCATTTCCATTTTTAGCACTTTGCAATCCAAGTGTTTTTAAAGCTAGTCAATGACTTACGTATGAACAGTACCCACTAAGATGCTTAGGAACATCAGTTATTTGGGTTAAAAAAATCTAATTTGTCAATCTATAAAATGTCCTTTAAAGCAATACAGAATAACTGCATGCAACACCCATCACAGCTGTTCTCTGCCTACCCCTATTACATTACAGCCTTATAGCGAGCTGTTGCTTGGCCAAAAACAAACCCAGCCTAGCCCTTCCAAACAGTCATACATTTACATTTGTTTCACTAGCACATGCATCCTAACAGATTGCATTGATATGACTGTAAATTCTATTGGAGCAACTCAATATCTTGTTTATGGATGATACACCTGGGCCTCATGGGCCCTGCACCACATGCTGCCTGCATATTACGAGTCTATCCTTAATTATTACATTAACTGCTGAATGTCACGTTATGTTGCACAGCAGTACAGGACTCACTATCAAGCCATATCAGTAGCAATTTCACAAAAAACCCATATGCAGCTCCTAAGCCCTTTATGTTAATGAGAGGTATACTAAAATGGAATGAGGCACCAAAAGTCAAAATCTCCCTAGTGTCATTCCTAGGACAGAAACAAGTTTATGAAAACCTCAGTGAGGCCCCTCCTCAAATTACTACAGCCATGTGTGACTTGACTAATCGTATGATTTTCCACATGCTTGAAACAACTTTTATCATGTGACACCCCTCCAAGCTCCATTTTGCCCCTCCTTGCAGCTTTGCGTTCTTTTGGCTTGACATCACACGTATCACATGTGCCAGACATAAAATCCTAAGGGGGCAAAGGACTCTCTCAGCGGTATGTCCTAAGGGTGATGCCGACCTCCCTTTAAGAGGGACAAGCACACTAAATTATGATCAACATCTAAAAATGCCTTTACTGCATGGTACACGTGCAGACATGTTCAGATATGCATTTAAGGCCATGGCAAGCAACCTTGCAGACAGTCTAAGACTTTAAACCGTGTGTAACTTGGCTGAGTAAAAAGATTAAAGTTTCTAAAGTAAAACTATGTGTTAACCCTTAATGTTCCGATGAAAGATAGGGCCACATCACCCACATCTAGGATACCTCCCAAAATTTCTTAAAGCAGGCAGAAACACTCCACAGCAGGACAATCTCCAATCCACACTCCCACGAAAGCCTGCTGCCTGTCATATCTTAACACTGACCCTCATGTCATGAGGTCAGGGTGTGTTTCCATACAGAAGCCAAACACTATGAGCAACATAAACAACAGGATTTCTCTATTTTCTCCCCCATATATATAAAAAAATGGACGGGACATCTTAAACAATAAAAGCAAAACATATCATCAAAAAACACAATCTAAAACATTTTTATTAACATTTAAATATGCAACAGCAGAAAAGCACTTAAAACCCACACTAGGTAAAACATCCAAAAAAGGAAAGGTTTTATTTAGACACTGTTTCACTTTGATATGGAAGAAACACACTCTGACAAGTCAGTTGAATTCAGAAAAACTTGCTCACCATCACTGCTGGAAATATCAAGACAGTAAATTTCAGTAAGTTCAGAGGTAAAGTATGATGGTATAACAGTCTTTTGATGAATGAATAAAGTCTATGTTTTAATGTGAACAACTACTGATTAAAGGAAAGCCAGTTATAACCATGCCTACAAACATCATGCAGTTGTTTCCTGCATCAGTTCGTCACAGTGACTCGACTGTATTTCAGGGAAGCCTAATTTGATTCCCATCATTCAAACACAACTGCAGCGTACAGGCGAATGTGCACGGTTGACCTCCTACGAGAACTGGCTTATTCTGGATTTAGCCTCTGACGGCGTGGAGGCTGTGTGTCACGTCACTCCGGTCATCCTTCAGTTTCTGAAGGCTACCCGGCTTTAAAATTCACTGTCGGCTGATTCGGAAATCTGATGTGAGGATTCAGTCTGTGAATCATTCAATATTTCATCGAATTTTAGGTAGTATGTTTGTCAAAAAATGATTTTTTTTTATTTTATTTATTAGAAATGTGTGTAATCCAGGGACATTTCTCTTGGTTTGAAACATGAGAAGGCAGCTATTAGCATTTATTTAATAACTGGCCCTTTCAAAAGCCATAAATAAACTTAAACTGTGCGGCTATGTTTTTTCGATAACTTCTACCACTGCGCTAAATTGGACTACGGCTTAGCTTCAGTTCGCTCTTCTTTATTGTGCATTAATAATAAATATCAAAGGTAAAATTCGCACGATTAGAGCAGTATCATATTGTGACGGTAATGGTAAAGGCTATTGAGTCTACATAATAGGGCACTATGTCCTGCAACCTAAAATGCGTTTATAAACTCTTATAATAAACTTATGAGGAGCCCGTAAAATCTACGGCCTTCGGCTGACTCGTCAAACGTGACCTGTGAGAAAACGTACTTGGGGCGCTCGAATCACTTTGAAGGCTTAGAAAATATTCTTGTCCTCCCTTACGCTACGATATCTACTTAAGTTTTTTTTATAGGCTGTCATTTTCTAACAGTTTACTCAAAACTTCTATGTGGTTTAATGAAACTGTCACAAAAGAGATTTTTATATTAAAATATACTCACAAGACACAGAGCGCGTAGGCGCCGGTTACACTCTCGCTGTCCCGCACGAGGAAACTCCCGTCTCGTGCGGCGCGAGCCAGCAGCTCCTCCGCCGCCGCGCGACTCAGATCCCGCTGGTACCACAACGGGAGCGCGCCGCCCGGGAGCATTGCGGCCGGACCCGGGAGAAGCCCGCACCCACCTCCCGTACAGCTCAAGCAAAGAGCCGGAGCCGCCGAGGGCTGGATCGGCGTCCGGAGAATCCAAAAAGAAAATGGCAACTAACTTTTTTTCGCTGTTCCAGCGGAGTTCCTGAAAGTTCGCCGCCAAGGACCTACTGCTCCTTTTTCCCACGGAAATAATGCAGCCAGCCAGCTAACAAGCTATGTAAATACAGTGCAAACACCGAAGCATTAAAATGAGCTTTCACATAAGATGCACCGTAGTCAGCTAACCCCGAGGAAGCTGGCTCGTGTCCCCTAAATGAAATCCATCAAATTAAAAGAATGACGAGCAGATCGGTTGCCTATTGCAATAAATTTAATAATTTCTGTCGAAACTAAACATGCGTCGACTGAAAATAAAAATGAGAACTATCTGAGGCAATGCTTTCTTCATAGGTTGGATATAACTTGATACATTTATCTTAAGCATAGTGTCGGGGCTTTCGCGATTTATAAATCCCACACTCCCAGCGATCACTCAAATGGAAGGATTGTCTCCCGTTTTCCAGCATTGGCAATTCTGAAGCTCTTATGGTGAGTTGCGTCCGAAGCCTTCGGAGGTTTAGCCAGCAAAAGCCCGGAAAACGCTCTAGGTTTCCATCGTCAGAATTTACCACCAAATTAATAGCAAAGTTAAGCATATTCAGTTTTACATAGCGAACAACGGTATACGAAATCAATGCCTTTCCCGATTAAATCTGCATTAGTAAAAAGGTTGATACTATCGCAGCGAGCGGCTACTGCCGACATGAAAACGACTGTTTATCTTCCTGAAGTGAAGCTCCTGTATAAATGTAAAAAAGTGGTCCGTTCTGAAATATAAACGGTCGTTGCTGCCCAAGCATTGAACGTGCCTTCATTTAAAAGTCCGCTAAAGAATAAATTTTGCTTTTCTTGCTAAATCCTACCCTCCACGTCTACTTTAGAGCTTGCTCCCTTCAATTACGTTTCAAATTAAAAAAAAAAAAAAAGTTGCTGAGAAACTTCCTGTTCGGTGACTGGGTTTTTCGATCTGGGCAATTAAAGAGCCAGATCACCCCCCTCCCCAAGGTTGGCCTGACTTACCGAAATATTACGCATCCCTTATGTTTTACATTACTGACCATAAAATAAACACTTTGTTGGTATTGCGTAGCTTCAATCTGTTACTTCCTAATTGTTATTGTAGATAATTACTCAATGCTATATAATGTATGTTTCCATGTAGATTTTGTATCTTTTTTTCTGTTCAACAACTCATATACTAAGTTATGTTCACTGTCAAGTAAAATGTTAAGTTTGTACCTACAGTGTACAAAACATTCTAAGCATCTGAAAAATTATTTTAGATAAGTTCCATGTAATGGTGTTCTGTTTTCTGTAGTGAGCTTAAGGGGAAAAGTAAGACCCCAAAACAGCGAGAACATTTTAACACAACACTGCCATTTTGCTTAGTCTGTGTGCCGTCATACAGTGAAAATTATCCGTGGTAAGCAGCCGTAATAAAGAAACTAATGATTTGTTATTCTGATAGTATAACATGCTCAGATGTGACAAGATATAAGTCAGGGAATGTCCTTTTACAGAAGTTGTGAAGAGGGACTGTTCTGGTTTGCTCGCACTAGGCCACACCTACATCCTGCCAGCATTCTGTGGGCCTCAGAAATCACAGGTGAAAGTGTGACATGATCCAAACACGATGAGCTCACTGCTTGTCTACCAGACTATGTCACTTGTGCAGTCATTAAAGAGACAAGGGAGCACTTTGAAAACAAAGAGTAAAAACAAAGAAATCGCCGATCATGGAATTTGGAGACTTGTTTTTCCAGTGTTGATGCATAAGTGGACAGCATTGGTAACAGGGTTCTCCGCTGTTTCCACAAAAGAGACTGCGAGTAGAAACTGGAACCTAGTAATTATCCATATAGGCCACTGGCTTCTCACACACAGAAAAGCTTTTTTATTATTTCTTTGTCCTGCACAGTCCCAGATGTTCTAATTCAGTTTTAATGGTACAATTGGTCATACTTGCATGTTTACGATGGAAAGATGATAAACCAGTTAGACATTTCAGAGGGATTTCAGGAGCTAGATAAGACCACACCAGGGAAATTTACTTGTTGCAACACCCTAAAAATAAACAAACCAAAGAAAAGACTAACGGAGACAATACAATAACAAGATAATTGTGCATACAATCACACATATTGCACACGTGATGTGGAAAGTGGCATAAATGAATGATACATATCAAAGAAGCTAAGAGACTAAGCAGAGTAAGAGGCTGAAGAAAGTAATTATGTGTCTCTCCTATGCTCCTGAAGCGACTGTGACATTGCTCATGATATAATCTCTCCCCATGCAGGCTGCTTGTGAAGGTGTTCACAGTTCGATACACTGGCAAATTTAAAGCGACGGTATCAGCCAGATATCTTGAATCATTTAATACCAAAGTTTGTACAAAAAGTGAGACACTGCATGCTTTCTGTGTGATTTATGGATAAATAATTTAATTTAGAAAAACAGTGTCAGTAATAATGCTGCAAACAAGAGTGCAGTGGTGGCCACCATGATCGGCGAGACATTTCTGATGTAATATTCAGCCACCTGCTTGTTAGGGTTTGTCCCCTCACTGAACCACATCTGCATGCATCTGCCGCTGCTTTTGGCGTAGGTGGTGTACTTGTATGAGTTGGACCAGATCTTCTCACACAGGTTCTGAGCCGTGGGGAACACGGTGCTGAACAGCTGGCACGTGGAAGCAGAGGGACACCTATTCCTACCTGCAGATCGAAACAGAATTTTTGTCTTTTCTTCTTTCAAAAGTACACTGCAGAATACTTTACAGCCCTTGAAGTAAGTCGCCCATCACCAATGGCAGTGTTTCCCTATCTGGTGCTCGGGGATCCCCAGACTCCACGTTTTTCCTTCCTGCTGGAAACTGGGAGGGAGCAAAAACGTGGACTATCTGGGGGTCGCTGAGGACCGGGTTGGGAAACACTGACTTATGGGAATCATTTTGACATTTGAATGAATGCCAGCATAGTGAACCTGTAGTCCAGTCCCAGCCGACATGCCAGTTTTCCTTGCAGGTGAAGTCATCCTTACAGTCTTCCCACCAAGTCTCACAATCCTCCCGGCACAGAGGCACATTCAGTATCCGCTCCTTTCGCCAGCTCTGGTCAACCTTGTGGGGATTAAGGAAGTGATTCTCCATATAATATTATCCTTTTCTCAGCGATGATCATCTTCTTCCAAATTTAGTGTGCTTGAACGCTTACTCATTCAGTCACACCCAGTACAAAGCACAGCGTGACATCAGAACGGCAGACATTAGTAACAGACATTAAGGGCGGTGTGCGGTTCTGTGGGTTAGAAGTCTGACACTATGTTTGCAGGGTTTTTGCTGGTTTGATTCACAAGGCTGGCAGAGTGTTTTCTGAAGCCCAGCTTCACTCGCCCCCTTAAACGTTTACTTCTCACAGTGAGAAAAAGGGGATATTTGAAAACCAAATTCTGCGGTTCTGGGACAAATGGCTAATAAAAGTATCAATACTGCGATACAGTTAATACTACGTGCAGTGAAAAAATACTATGCACAGTATAAAGTCTCGGCCCGGTCCTCAGGAACCTCCAGACGCTCCACATTTTTGCCACCTCCCAGCTACTTGCCAGACAATTCACATTTTGGGCATTTTGGCTCCCTACTGTGGAGTTAGGAGAGAGCAAAAACATGGACTGGCTGGGAATCCCTGAGGACCGGGTTGAGAAACACTGCTGTATAATATCTATGTATTTTCCAACTCCTTACATAGGAACATATATATTTAAAAGGCCTCTGTAGTTTTTCTATACAAGATGCAGAGCTGACCATTCCTGCATTTACTGTGCTGGACCTGCGTCAATCCCATGCTCTTGACCTCTCATACACATTTATATTTTTTAATTTCCTGCTTTACCTCACCTTCATATGCCAATCCAAACCTTTATATGTTACTTTCAGTGGGTACTTCAGAATTGAAGACACAAAGGTTACATCACCACCTGCTGGATCAATCTTGAATGATTCTGTGTTACCATTGCTGTTAGCCACCTACCATCTGAACCCAAGGCCCGAGGTGAGGGGAGCACTCATAGAAGCAGGTGTCCTGGATGAAATGCTTCTTGCAGGCCTCTGACATAATCCCGCAGTGGTTCCACTCAAAGTTGTACAGGTAGGAGTTGTCACTGTGAGCCTGTTCACTAGTGTTGGCTGTGCAACAGGCGTTATCCTTCCAGGGTGAGCACTGAAGACGATAATAATATAAAGAGCAGATAGCCACAGCAGATAGCCACAGGAGAAGCTCAGGTGTACAAGGAACTACATTTTCACAATATATCCGATATTCCCAATAAATAAACAAACAGAAACCGAGAGAAGAAAATAAAAAGTTACAAGTGGAAAGGTAAGAAGACCCAGAAGTCACCCTTATCATTACAACGTGCTCTGGCTGACAATAAATGCCATATGCATAATTCCAGGTCACCGTTCTGAAGCACCCAATATAAAATCCAGGCAATATTCATTCCTTAAACAAACTTTCAGAAAAAAGGAAGATGTTCCTCTACAATATATTTATACTACTTATATTTGCATGCTAGCTTCAAACTATAAAATGAGGTATGACATTTGTACCCATAATGAATGCAGGCCAAACAGTAAAAGCTTTTATGTCGGGCCTCGTGCACCGCGGCACCTCAGGACAGTCACGTACTTGCTTATAAAGGAGTCCCTCTGGCCCCGGCTCTGTCTTGTGATGCTTAGCGTCCATGCACATGTTCAGCAGGTCCTTCTGAGATACAGCCATGGACACCAAGGCCAGCAAGAAGGTTACAGATAACATAGCTCTGTAGGGGGAAACACACAGCTTTTCAGCATGAACTGTTTTGTCTCCTCATTTGTACAAAAGGCATGTTACAAGGTTGAAGCGATTACAAACACTGAACCTATTATATTAGAGTGCATCACTTTATTGGATTTTTATTTCTGTCCATACCTACAAGTCTTATCCATACTGACAGGTGAAGAACACAAATAAAAAGTAAGCGATGGATAAATCATGAATACATTTAAAATAATATTTGGTTCAATTTAATTAGAAAAGTCTGTAACCTTTCAGGATAATACATTTTGACAACACAGCATACATTTAAGATTTCTGCACTATTACCTATTTTATATAGTAATTCCTTATTCAAGTTCAATCCCACAACATATAACTGAACCAGTAGTTTTAAGGGTTATAAAACACAAAATGTCATTTGTTTCATGCATGCGTACGACTTGTACATACAAAACGTAACATGTTTCGAAAAATGTTAAAGAGCCATACCTTCGTCTCTGAATTGCAGAAACTTGAAGGCTAACCGATCTTCACTACAGCTGAAACACTCAAATGACTAAATATTCCACAGAATTTTTTCCAAATATAAATATATTTTAGAGAAGCAGTAAGTCAGGTAAGCAAGTATTTTCTCTCTCCCGAACTGCCGCTAGAAAACAAGGTACATATATCCCTTGAGTGTGCTATGAGAGGGCAAAGTCTCGATTTTGTGTCAGAGCAAGGTCAGACGGTAAGTTAAACGAATAGTTCTCAGGTTATCCTTGGATTGCTTTAATCGCAGAGTGAATGTTGTACGAAAACAATATTACCAGGTTGGAAGCATTTATAGGCCAGGACTATTACAAGCAGAGTACACTATAATGGTTAATTATTAAAACACGTCGTTTTTACTGTAAATCCAAAACCGATTTTCTTGTTGAGGGCTGCGAAGAACTCCGTCTGATTTCTGAACTAACTCTAGTTCAAGCAACATGTTGATCGCATTTAATAATATACATATTAAACAAACTACAGAATTGTCCCAGAAAAGTAATATTTTTTCCCGGGACACGAATTGTCCCAGGTTTTTGTGAAACTGTACGTCTGATTTACAGTTTCGTAGCTTCAAATAAAACTTTGGTAAATTTCCTTCTACCGCTATTCTTTTTTCTTCCTGGTCATGTTTATACCGTGTCCATAAATGGATTAAAACGGGTAAAACACAGCGACGATTGACTACGTCTATATTTTTATTTGATTGGTAGAAGAAATATGAAGCTTATCTAATTACTTAGCAACTTTAAATTATCATGCTTGGAGTTTAAAGCAATCATTGAAGGACAGCAGGGACTTCTGCAGACAGCAAAAAATGGATGAAATATACAAATGGAAAAGAACTGAGAAATGTCAGTGTTAGGCTGTCCAAATTCCTCAAGTAAAAAGGTTGCATTCCTTCGGACATATTAGGGTTAGGTTTTATAATATATTATAATTAGGCTATACCATGTAGGCCTATATTTACTCGATAAAGCAAAAAAAAATACGCATTTAACATAGAAACGGATAACAGCAGACAAAGGAGTCCAGAGTGAGTGCAACTGCGTCTGCGTGAGGACAAATATATGTAAGGGGGAGTCCTTACAAATATTAACATAACATATTTGCAAAAATGGTTTAATTGGCCCCTCAAAAAAAAAGTCTGAATGTCCCGGTTATTCGCAAATCAAAAGTGGCAACTCTAGAAGTGAACCGTGAACTTGGGAGAGCGATACATTTCACATTAAATTACACGGTTAAATTACAAGCTGCTTTTCGGACACACCTCAGACCGGAAACGGTCAATCACGTGCAAAAACACAGGCCACGCACTTCCGCTTAGAGACAGTTTGAAAGCTTTCGTTTTGCGGGAGTAGCAGCTTGGTAATATAAGTCTCAGGTAATAGCTTTCTCTTCGTCCCTTCTCACTTCCGATGTTGTTCTTGGCTCTGATGGACGTATTATAAGATACATAACGCTACATTCTGAACTGGTGAGATTGTTTAGTGGCAGTTCAAACGGTACGCCGTCGTGCGATATTAGCGAAATGCTGGCTAGCTAGTTATGGTGATTTACGACATCGGTAGCTTAAATTAGAGTTAACCTGTTTAATTAATTATATTACTTTAAAAAGCAAAACTAAAGTACAAAGCTGGTTAATGAATTAAATAAGTGAACTACATATTACATATTAAATTATTATTATATTACCCCATCAAGATTACCGCTGTTTGTATTTGAGTGTGTGACTGTGATAGAGGTGGAAAGCTCAGGAATAACTATAACTGTTTGCTCCCATTTGTCTCCACAGGATGTCTACACTCTTTCCATCTTTGTTCCCTCGCATGACAGACTCTTTGTGGTTTAACCTGGACCGACCATGTGTGGATGAAACTGAACTTCAGCAGCAAGAGCAGCAGCACCAAACCTGGGTATGTTGGCTCACTTTAAACCTTTAATGGTTTCATAAGAAAATATGGTGTTCAAGTGCCAAGGAGTTTAGATAAATGTAAGTTTATGGGTAATAAATTTGTTTTCGTTAATGTGTTTGTATTGGTATCTCTTTCTGATCAGCTACAAAGTATCGCGGAAAAGGATAACAACTTGATGCCCATTGGGAAACCAGTCTTTGAGGTGTTACATTCGTTTATAATTTGATATGCATATACACACACTTTTCAAATGCAGTGGACAGACTATTTTTTCCCTGTTCTCATTCACATGGTGTACCTGCAGACATTTGAGGAGGAGGAGGAGGAGGATGATGAAGATGAAGAAGACAGTGAGGAAGACTCAGAGGATGATGAAGACATGCAGGACATGGATGAGATGAATGACTACAATGAGTCTCCAGATGATGGGGAGATCAATGAGGTAAGGAATTTTGTAGATAGTTTGAATGAATTATTAGCGGTGAGAGAATCTTTGTTAGTTACATGTAGCAAATTAACTGGTTGTGCAGACAGGATATATGCACAGGGGAAGCATGGTACAGTGGTACCTTGGAACACAAACTTAATTCATTCCAGAAGGCTGGTTGAGTTGCAATTTGGTCGAGGTCCACATCGAATTTCCCTATAAGAAATAATGTAAATGAATTGAATCTGTTCCAGACCCCCAAATGATTGCCTATTTAAACTAATCTACCTACCTAATTAATGATTAAAAAGCATTCACAATCAATATGAAACTAAAATCGATATGAATCGAGGCATTCGAGTTACAAGGTTCCACTGTATTCAGAATACAGAATTCCGTTTCTTACACAAAAATGAAATGAAAGTGGCACCAGTCCTTTGAGGAGCAGTGCAAAACTTGCAGTGCACTTCAAAAGCAGTGCACTTCAAAACAAGCTAAGGCAAATACATAAATCCAAAATGCTAATTTCCAATGAGAGAAAGGTCTAGTGAAGGCTATGACAACATGCTATGATACAAACACTTAGTCTTGAACTTTTAATTATTCCTGTATCAATTTCTCTACATTGTAGGTTGATATGGAAGGGGCTGACCAGGATCAGGACCAGTGGATGATATAGAGTAGTTCTGTCATTCTCTCAAGTCAGATTGGGCAGTTATTGATTTTTAAGCTGTGAGAGCCAATTCATTCACTTGAATGTTTTCAATGGCCTTTGCTAGGATACTGTGCTTCTCCACTGTCCAAAGTACATGTTTACCAGGTAACAATCCACCAAGTGGGATACAAGACTGCTGCACTTATCTCTGGTCTCTGTATCGACAGCATTAAAGACAGATTATTATGCACTGAGGTTATGGCTGCAACAGCAGGCTGAAAAATTAACTCTGTTCTATTAATGTTATACCACTCGTTGGTGTTGTGATTTAAGATGTACTTTGAACCAGGTCGTACCTTTTTCAAGAAAATCCGGATGTCCTTGTGCCCTCTTGAGGAAAATGTTGTACTATTTGTGACGAGCGAAAGTCAGCTGATATACCAGCCACATCACACTTGTATCATATAAGAACTGGGCACCTTGGTGCTGTGTAAATATCAATTTGTTCGAATCAAGAACAGAAGAAAATTAACTTTTTATTAAATATGATAGTATCAAAGCAAAATGTAATTAATTCAGTTGTCTTTTAATGACAGTTTAAAGTATTTATCCATCACACTGAGAATATTTAACATCTTTTAGTCTTACAGTGCCCTATAAACATTAATAAAGGAATCTGTAAAATTTTCTTTTCTATATATGACTTATTCATGTGAAAATGGTTTTTCCTTTATGACATCAGTGGGTCAGTGGTTTCTGTTGGCCTTTGTGATGTTGTGAGTTTACAAGGGGGGCGGTTAATAGATGATCCCAGCTGTGTTTGTGTGGGGAAAATGAAGACCCGGCACTACACCTCTTGTTATTTAATGGGCAACGAGAGCTGAAGATTGCACACTGAATGCACTGCAGAACGCAGTGCTGTAGATCCTTCATTTGGCCCCCAGGTAGATCAGTTCAGCCATGCCATCTTTAATGCCGCGGATGTATTCCAGTGAGGCACGGTGCATATGGCACTTATACAAGCCACTGCGCTTGACGTACCGCAGAAAGTTGGGTGCCCCAGGAAATATGACATTGTCAGCAAGAATGATGGTGCCTTCACTCAGTAACCCACTGCCCTCTAAGAGCTGGAGGTCCGGCAGGTAGCAGCGCTTCCAGTGGTCCATGAAAACAAAATCGAGCCTTTCCACTCCATACTCCTCCTTCAGCTTAGGAATGACCTCTTCTGAGGTGCTCACAATTAACTCCACCTGGACGAAAAGGACCCATTTTAATACAGAACACATTTTACTGCTTATGGAACAAGATCAAAAGCTGCCCCACTCTGAGTCAATAGCACTGAGGTCTGTAACTTTTGGATAAACAGACTGTGGTTCTAATGGATGTGGAACAGAAATGCTATTAATCTTTCTGAATATAGTAATTCATACTGTATCATTCTTCAAAACAGGGAATAGTACACTGGATGTGTGTTTGCTGTGCCTTCCTCATACAGAAACATATACACACTCTATGGACGTAAGTTGGGACTCTTCTCTTAATCATAGAATTCAAATGTTTCGTTCAGACCCATTGCCACAGGTTAATAAAATCAAGCACCTAGCTATGCAGTCAGGTTTACAAAAAATTGTGAAAGGATAGGCAGACCACAAAGTAACAGCGGGGTCGCCGACTGCTGAGGCGCATAGTGTGTAAAGGCTGCCAATGCTCTGTGGACTCAATGACTGCAGATTTCCTCTGGCATTAACCCCATTTTGACATTAACATTTTGGACAATTCTGTTTCCAGCTTTTTGGGAACAGTTTGGGGAAGATCCTTTTCTGTTCCAGCATGACTGTGTCCCAGTGGACAAAGCAAGGTCCATAAAGACATGGTTGGATGAGTCTGGTATGTAAGAACTTGACTGACCTGCACAGAGCCCTGACCTCAATGCCATCAAACACCTTTGGGATGAACTAGAATGAAGATTGCAAGCCAAGCTTTCACGTGCAACATCGGTGCCTGACTGCACAAATGCTCTTCTGAATGAATGGACAAAAATTCCCACAATCCAAAATGTTATGGAAAGCCTTCCTAGAAGAGTGACAGCTGTTATAGCTGCAAAGGGGGAACCAAATCCATATCAATGCCTATGGATTTAGAGTGGGATGTCATGAAATTCCCTGTAGGTGTAATGGTCAGGTGTCCCAATACTTTTGCCCATATAGTATATAATGGTCCCCTTTCAAAAACAATGGCTGATCTCACCATGTCATCATCAAAACCGGCAAGTCGAATGGCCTTCTCTGCCACAAGTGCATTACTCTTGTCCATCTCCACAGAGTAGAGCCGGGCACCGATGGTCAGGGAGCGGGCAATTCGGATGGCACTGTACCCGCAGTGCGTGCCCAGCTCCAGAACATTCAGTGGAGAGTTTTCTCTCAGTAGCCTGTCTAAGACCAGACCTGCCCAGCAAATAAAACAAATGAAACTGCATTAGAAACTTTGGGCTGGTCACTCATATGTTTCATTTTGGTACCATGACCGCTTTTATGATGACCCAAAGCGTGCAAGAAGGAGACTGGTGGATACCTTTCTTGGGACCAATGTTGCTGATGAACTCGACTTTACTGCACCAATGGTCAAAGGCATCCAGGATGCTGTCGGGGTTCCCTGGGGTGGCATGAGTCAGCACATATTGGAAGGCTCGCTCCTCCCGAGAGAGACCCGTCAGGAAGTCCTGGACCACCCGGACCAGCACCGCACGGTAGAACAGGACAAAATAGTACCGGTAGCGGATGATCAGTGTGAACAATAGGGGAAGAAATGCCAGGGCGATGGCAGGGGAGACCATCCTGTCACTCCGAGTACAAAGGGCACCTGGATCCATAAAAAGACAAAGACACCAATTCATTCAACAGGGTGCTTTAAAGTCATTTAGTTACTGTGATATTCTGAGTCTCTCACCGGATACTTTTTGTAAGCGATTATGTAGCCAGGAACGCATATCACAGATCCTCTGAAAATCCAAGTTTATCCAGTTATAAACCCTACCAGAAAACAATGGCTGATGCACTTCCAGAACTAGAGACATTTATTCCGGTAAGTAAATGGTGCGAGGTAGATGTACACAAGCTATAAGCAATTTAGTCAGCAGTCCAACTGAACCTTGTCTTTGATGTTTCTGAACTGGACATGAAAACTGAACAAGGTTACACATTGTCTTACAATGAACAACTAGCACTTAGCCCTATGGCCAATATGCTACTCGGTGAAGATATTAAGTTAAAATTTTAATCATGAGGCCATTTATTAAAAATAAAAATGCAGGACTGCCGTCTAGAAAACACACCACTACACGCACTGATGAGTTACCCTTAAACTATGAAAGAGGTGCCTGAAAATTACATGATTGCATACATCTCTGAAATATGCCCTAAAAGCTAGTGAAGGTTAATCACGCAAATTTAAACTGGGTATGTTCCTTACTCACCACTTATGAGGTTTCAGGTGAGAAAAACACAGAGCTCTCTGCTGCTACCCCTCTGTATGGCAGATCATAACATGAGATGGGTAAAAGGCAAGCTGGACCTCCTGAATTATTGAAATGCCCCCCCACCACCCCGAAATGCACCTTCAACCACTCAGAAAACAAGAGAGTAAAGCAACTGAGGATCAGATTCCTATGCGAGTCAAATTACCCCCTGGCTGTTCACAAACAAAGAGAAAATGAACCCTGACACATCAATTGTCCATTAAATTGTTTATTTTTCTATCAGGTTAAAACACAGATATATGCATAATTATTTATTTTAGACTTCACACAGATATTCAACAATTGTGTCCTACATTTGAAGCTATGGGAGGTCCCAGCGTGGCAGAGGATACCTTAGGCAAAAAAGTTATGCTTCCTAGCAAGGTAATGATATTTGTAAAAGTGATCTAAAAAGAGCCAGCTTTGCTAATATGATTAGGGGTTTAAGTCCCAAACCCCTCGAGACTGCTGTGAAGTTTAACACTGTACTCTCTGCAGACTCTTCATGAACTTCTTCAGCTCTCGTTCTGCTTTGAGCCACTTCATTAGACGGGTGAGGACCAGCCTGCTACCGTTTATGTCCCCCACACCAAGAAGATATCCTGAAAGTGGACTGTCCAGCTCTTCACAGCTGCAGTTCGCTCCCTCTAACAGCCAGAGCTGGCTCTCGGCGACAGCGCCAATCCGGACACCATCTTCGTTTCGCAGCAGCACTCTGCTCCGCCCACTGGCCACAATTTTGCGGTCTGGTCCATCCGTGAAACTCTCTGCCACCTTTAAACTTACAACTGTTTGAAGAAGTAAAATATATTAACGAACGATATTGACTCCGAGAGATGAATCAGCGTAGATATTATGTTATCAAATTCATCCACCCATTCAACCATCCATATTCTAACTGCTATCATCGTCAGGTTTACGTGCTATATTATTTTACACATAGTGTTAAATATTTATTAATAGAGGCATCTATTACACAGTGCCCCCTTAGTTACCACAAGTAATGTGACTCCTGTTTCGTTACAAGTTTGTCGATCTTGTTTTCAACTCACCAAAACGACTCTTGCAGTAGTTTTTCTTAATCCCCACCTCCCCTTCAGCTGCTAGGTTGCAGGCATCACATACAACTAGCACATGGTGTGGAATTTTATAAAATATTAGGATGAAATGCGCCTTGTTTAATACAGGGGTGGGCAATCTTATCCGCAAATGGGCGGTGTGTATGCAGGCTTTCGCTGCAACTCCCTAATTAGGTCACTAATAAGAGGATTGATTGGCTGAAGAGTCCCCACAACTAGGTTTGAACAGCTGACCTAAAGGTTATCCCAAAAACCTGCATACACACCGGCGCTTTGCGAATAAGATTACCCACCCCTGGTTTATAACATAATATTACAAATGCAGTTGTTTGGGGGTACCAGTACACAACTTAATCTTGATAATAATTCTGTTATATCTGAAAACGAGATTGATCATATAAATTGGAATCAAATGGGATACCCAAGTTCACATTCTCAGCAAACTGTAATTGTGCAAATTATATAAAACACGAACCTTCTGATTCTGGGTCGTGGTTTCTTCTGTTATCTTTGCTGTGCACCGAGTCGGCTGCTGGTATGCACAGGTCTGTGTTGTTCGGGAACAAGTTGCAGTGGAACATATCTGGCCAAGGAAACCCGAAAGTGCTCATTACCGGCAGGCAGCCGTTCCGCACGTCTTCACAAAGATTTCGGCATGGCCAGACTGGCTCCGTGAGATCCGGTAAACACACGGGAGCGAAGAGGGAGCACAAGAACTTCTTAGTCTCTGGGTGGCACTTTTTAGAAACCAACGCAGCCCAGGACCCCGACTGCTGTTGAACTTCTTTCATGGTGTCGTGGCCCAAAAGGTTCGGAAGTCGCATATCTTTGTACCCAACGTCATGACACAAACTCAGTGTATTAGGAATAGGTTTGCACGCCGATTGTAAAGCACTGAATGCAGCAGCGGATACGGACTGAATTACGATGCCAGTTGAGAAAACTGTGAAAAATGGCAAACCTGCGATCTGTACCCTTAACAGCGAAGTCATTGTCTAAAATTTACAGTCCAACATAAACTACCAACAGAAACCAATCCAAATAAAATCCAGTTCAGGTGCCTTAAATTTCTTGCACTATATTAATGTCGACGAGCGACCTAAAACACTTAGAAAGTCTCCATCTTCTCTTTATCTATGGGTATTTTAGCGACACTGCCACTGTATATTACGTCTTAATAGCAGCGGGGTGCTTAGTTAAAGGCTGGAGCGCATCCTGTTTCGCAGACAATAGAAAACACGCAAGTTTATTGAGGGTTATAAATGTTCCCTATAATTAGAACTTAAGTGATTTTTGTGCAACGGCGTGATTTCTTTGAACTTTCCATGATTTTTGCTTTGTAGTTCTGTAAAGTAGGTTGACGCCAAGCAAAAGCAGTAATGACATTTCGAAACAAGCGGCGGGCGACGAGCTGTCAATTATACAAGCACCCAAAGCTTAACTGCCTATAGGTTGAAATGACGCCCCGAATGGCGTCACCCAGGAGTCCAGCATGTGTTATCGTCTTCGCTTGGTATCACGTGATAGGAGTCTGTAAATAGAATGTGCGCAGCTTCAAACTGGCCGGATGTCACGTGCTTTTGTCTTTAAACAGCTGTCATGTGACTAGGATCCTTCGTTGGATAAGATAGGGAAGGAAACAAGACTAGGGAAAGAAAAGCGTTCCCCTCCGTGAGCTTCGGAGTGGAATTTATTTTTGTCTTCGTTCCGGATAACACGACAGAAAAGGAGAAAGCTGGATATTTGGCTCGTTTTGCCTGGCAGAGAGCCGAGAACTCCCAGTGGAGATCATGGGTTGCTGTTACAGCAGCGAGACCGAGGCCACGGAGCAGGTAGCGTCGGCTAGTTAGCCAGCCTGCTAATTAGCGCTCAGAAGGGTTGTGTTGCACTTTACTATTCACTGAATTGCGTCTTGATGGGTTGCAAAGAGTAAAACTAGTTAATAGAGATTGCTATTTGGTTGGCACCCCATGTCGTAATAAAACAACGACGTTAGAGCTGTGTTATTAGTTAGTCTTCCTTGTTGTTTTTGTTAGCTGGTTAGCTACAGGCCTAGGCGCAGGCAAAGTTTCGAGATTGCTGTTCAACTATTTGAGCAATTCAATGCGCCACAGACTGCATTTTATAAATATTGCTGGGCTTTTTGATCAGTGATCGAGACGTAATTTTTGTCTTGCTTGTTTCGTTATATCATGTGTCCCATTTTATATTTATGTAAAAAAAAAAGGCATGAAAACCTTGCCCAAAAATGAACTTGGTCTGTAATTTCATTTTTTGCATTAACCTGTATCTGTGACGATTAATTACCGATTATCTCGAAACCCCAGAAACGTGCTAAATGTCCTATCTTTGCTGAGGTGATACTGGTGACTACAGTCTTGCCTATATTTCCTTAGCGTAATGGCTGTCCTTTAACATGTGTTGAATTATTAGATTAAAGACAAGTTGATAGAATTGATTTTGAATGCACTGTCTACTTTTGTTAATCCAGATCGAGGTATGTAGCTACAATATTCTCGAAAAACAGCCATTCAATGTCGCCCTTTATGCTCTCTGCGGGGATTTGCGGTTGGATTATTTTACTTACATGTTCACACCTCGGAGCAAATTGTTTGCCTCCGTAACAAGGGTCAGACTGATAAGGGCACTTTCTGTCCCAATTTCCCAGGATAGAGATGAAAGGAAACCGCTGATCCCCCATCCAAACCCGGACAGCAAACCGTCCAATGGAACAGAGCGAAACTGCGCCAGCCTGCCTTCGGCGCGAACAGACGAGCAAGCTCTCCTGTCGTCTATCCTCACCAAGACAGCGCTGTACGGTCATAAGCGGAACTATAACAAGAGGAACTCCGATGAGTCTTATTCCTTTGGTTGCACATTTTACTGACTCAGTGTCTGTCCCTTTTTGACTGACAGGAATATAATTGATGTCTCGGCTGCAGACTCCCAAGGAATGGAGCAGCATGAGTACATGGATAAAGCACGGCAGTATAGGTAGGCAAGTCGTTTGTGAAGTGGGAAATTCTCTGGCACGTGTGTTTTCCCTCAGACAGTTTAGAACAATAGCAATATTTTTTTTTATATAAATTCTGCTATTACATTTCAGTAGAATGTCTTTTATTTATTTTGCAGTACGAAACTGGCAGTGTTGAGTAATACACTGTCACTGAAGAAACCCCCACCGCTTCCTGCCCTCACCAGTCAGCCCCATCAGGTGCTTGCAGGTGATCTCGTGCCATATTCAGACATGCAGCAGGTGAGGACAGCAGCATCAGATTCCCACGGGACTCATTTATAACCCATTCCAGTGTTAAATATCTGTTTTAAAGGTGCATTGAAATGCCATTTGGATAAGAGACTTTAAATGTTTTTTTTGTATCCTTTCCCCAGGTTTCGAAGATAGCGGCCTATGCATACAGTGCAATTTCACAGATCAAGGTGGATGCAAAGGAAGAATTGGTTGTCCAGTTTGCAATCCCCTGATCTGTTCCTTGCTACTTTTGTTTTTGTCCTCCCAGCATCCTCTGCTGTCCCCTCCATGTGCTCAAGTTATCAGCACTGCCACTACAGGAGCAGCAACAGCTGAAGACTTGGAAACCAAACATCCCGACTCTATCAACTTGTACCTAACATAATATGTCTGTTAAATGATAAATAACCTGTCTCTCCCCCAGAAGCTTGCATTGAATTTTAGTGTTCAAAACACACTGAAGGCATGTTATTTTAAAAAAAGAAATATATAAACCAGAACATTCTTAAGATCAGTTAAGGTTGATAATAAAATATTCTAGACAAGACTGTCCAACAGTCTCTGAAACTTAATTGGTGTTAGAATGTCACCTTGCCCTACACTAATGTTGGTTTACTACCATCTGTGTGGCAGTAACTGAAAAACGGCTTTGTTTCCGTGGTTTAACATGCTAAGGTGCTGTTGGCGAAAGCCGACTGTTTCCCAGCGAGTGAAAGGCTTAGAATCCATCAATGTAGTTTTCTGCCACTAACCAATCGCAGAACTCGATTCACACTACGGTCACAATTCTGATTTTTTGAGGGTGGGGGAGGACAGCAAACCTCGTCTCAGCCCAGCGTTGGGAGGAAAGTAAAAAGATACTCAGATTTTCTTCCCTTGTCTCCGTGGTTTACAGGCATTGCGTACAATTCTTCCAAATGGTTAACCTAATCAGTGACAGCTTACAGAATGAAATTGTAAATATGTTCTTGATTCCTTAAAAGAAAAATAGTGAAGGGCACTATTGTGCCTTCTGTTTGGGAGTGTTTGATTTGGATGGTGCTTTTTGTGAAAGTGTCTGCTCAAATCAAACTGTTGGAGGGCCCCAAAGTTCACACTCACGGTTTTAATTTAATAAAGATTTTCACCTGGTCAATTTTATTTAGAGTAGAATGAATTTTAAATATGACATTATAAAATGCATTTCAGCAAGTACTATGGTTTTCCAATTGACTGGTAATTAGGTAATGCTGTTGTAATTATTTCTTTTTATTTATGCTGCTGTTTGGTTTGAGTGCAAGCAGATACCTAGTGCAAAGGCAAACACATTTGTGTGATTTTTTAAAGGGATTTACTGTGGGGCTGTGAACTTCGACATTTTGCTTCTTGCCGTGTGCTAATATTTGTTTGTTATTCAGTTGTCTCTTACCATCTGAATTGTTAACTTCATAGGCTAGTACCAAAAACAATTTCTGTTAATATCATTTTTCAGTTTAATTACCGTATGTATTAAAATATTTCAGAAACATTGTGTCTGGATTTTTAAATGCTTTGATGATATGGAACATATGAAATGGGGACCATTTTTACTCGATTGTCAAACATACATCTGTTGTGGGACTTTCATGATACTGTTGTACTATATGATTGTTAGAATAAGGGGAAAATAAGGTAGGTCAAGATGATAAATGATGTTGACACGGATATACTTTCCGTGGATGCTTTTCATTAACTGCACCTTCATAATGCATTCATAGAATGTTCAAGCGGCAGAAATGAGTTTCCTCTGCAGGGTGTCTGGGCTCAGCCTTAAAAACAGGATGGATGGATGGATGGAACATTCATTGTCCCATCATAATGCATTCATAAGCAGCATGTAAGTATACTCTCATTCCATTAATAATACTTTAAATGAACAAGACATCACAGCTGTAATATACATTAATAACAAACATGATAATTGGTACGGTAGCGCAATGGTTATCACTGCTGCTTCACAGCAAGAAGGACCTGGGTTCAGTCCCGTGTCCTTTCTGTGGGTTTTTGCGGGGGCTCTGGTTTCCTCCCACAGTCCAAAAGCGTGCGGGATAGTTTGATTGATCTAAACTGGCCCTGTAGTTGAGTGTGTGCATTCTGCGGTGTTGGCGACTGCCCAGGGTTCATTCCCAGGATAGGCTCCGGTCCCCCCTGTGACCCCAGTTGGGATTAAGAGGCTAATGGATGGAGTATTGTATAATCTTTTTTAATAATAATATGTTTGCTATTAATGTAAGTTAAAGCTATCAAGGTTTTTTAGGATGTTAAAGTATACTTACATGATGCTTATGAATGGTCTATGAATGCACTGTGAATGCATTATGATTTATGAAGGTGAATTGAATGTTCTACGAATGCATTATAAAGGCATGATGAATATACAGTTGATGTAAAGCGTTACATACTTTTCTCATCTCAACATAAAAGTAATGGAGCTGAAGATGGGAGTTGTAATGATTTCAGGTCTTTATTAGTCACATGACGACACAAAATGCCCCTCTGGTTAAACTTGCATCAAAAGGTCATCCTATGGTTACAAACGGCACAGTTTCTGCCTCAGTTTGGGCTTCTCTTGGTCTTGCTCAGGGTGATTTTTTTGTGCCAGATCTGAGACATAATCCTTTCCTGCTTGGTCACTGCACTGAAATCCATAGACTTCAGATGTGGCAGCACTGAAATCACATGATCTCTAAAACCAAGAAGCAAAATGGACGTGAGTGAGGGGTCTGACACACGTGTGATATTCTGCAGTCTGGCAAAATGCACATTGTGGTCAAAACAAATTCTTACTCACTGCATTAAAGTTTTGTTCTGCTCCAATTTGAGCACAACTGTATGATGTTTCTACATAATATTAACTGCAGCACAGGCCAGTGTTAACGGCAGCTATTTCTATGAACTATACCATGACAAATGAGCTGGGCTTGTTAAACAGTGTTTTTTCCTACCTGTAAGTCTTCTCATTCTCAACTGCATTTCCATGCAGTGTCAATGTGTGGAGGAAAGGCAGCACTCCTAGCTTGTCCACTTCAGAGAGCTTGCAAATGTGGTTGCCATGCAGATACAAGACCCTCAGTTCATGCAGCTCAGTCAATGCCTGGTAAAGAGAACCAGATTCTGGTTCTAACCTAATTATATGTTACTTAAACATCTACAGAATCAACCTTACCTTAATTCAATTCACACAACTCATGCTACCATTATTAATAAAATGTCATCTACACTGATGTCAACAGCTGATAATTCAGTGCTGCTTTACCCAGCTACTCTGTGTAACATCCTACTACCACAGTGCATTCATTCTCCTATGAAATAAACTCATGCCTATTTAGTCATCGGTGTGTGAACGTACATAAGGCCTCTACTCACTTTATCAATTCGAGATATGTGATTGAAGGACAAGTCGAGCCAAGCTAGATGAGAGGGATCGCTGAGAAGGGAGTCGATGGTGAGAGTAAACCCAGCTAAATCTGAGATTAAATTGTTGTTTAGTCTCAAAGCTTGACTGCAGAACTTATTGTCGGCATTACGCTTCAAGGGTCGCAAACCTTCATTCGGTTCTTTGTGCAGCACATCTGCAGGGCAGAAAAATGCATCAGGAGAGAAAAAAAAACAACCGACACTTTTTATAGCCACTCATCCATTATGAGCCTAACCAGGAAGCACAGGGTAGGGAGCATGGTGTATGAGAAATATTTCCCATACATCCTTCTTGCAATGGCTTATTCTGGTTATGGCCACAATTTGTTCAAATCCAAAAATGTCGGACGTTAACGCTGGTTACCTGCTATAGACCCAATACATTTGAATGACAGATCCACTGGTGCTTTGCCCATTTTCCTGAACGGGAAAACCTGAATGCAAACAAGAAAAACAAAATAAAATAACTTCAGATCGCTAACATGACAAACGACACACACTGTGTATGAACAGTGAGAATATCTATCTGTTCCTGCGAAAATGTCATGCCTTGAAATACCTTTCATCAATAAACACATTAGCGACCAAAATAAATACAACCAGGTAATGTCTCAAACCTTTAGCCTCATGTCTCGTCGTTTTATGTATCAAACCTTATACAGTATCTGCGAGTCACAACAAACGGTTCCCAAGGTGATATTTGAGTTATGGGAATTGTAGTGAAGCTTTCTCAGTCGCACATAGTTGTGTCAGAAGAACGTGTATAATTGACAAAAAAAAAGCATCTTGTACGTCATTCGGTCCTTCTTCCATAAATAGTCGAAATTACAATCACGTAACATTATAGAATATAAATATATTATCGAATTAGCCAAAAATACAGTGCCATCTCCCGCTTGTCCTGTTACTACGTCGTTCAAATCTGGACTAATCAGAATTAAGCTACGTCATATAGCGGATACCAGCAGTTTTTCAAAAAGCCACCAATCATATAGATCCGTCGTCGAGCACAACCAATCGTGTTCGGGTAAACACCAGCGATGAAATTTTAAAAAAGAAATTAGTTGGGTGAGCGTTTGCTTAGTCTTACATGTCGAGGGCGAAATAGTGTTTTTCTTAGCGAACTGCTGGTAAGTCAGATGAAAATAACAATCGAAACTTAAAGAGAACATCTGATGGTCTGCGCTTGATTTTAAAGGTACGATATACTTATTTTATCAAGAATTCAAGGCACCTAAATATGTTTCGCCGATGGTTATTAGCTAATCAACTGTGCTAATGCGAGAAGTTAGTCACGGTGTCATAGAACGCTGCTGTAGGTGGTACAAAAATAATCTTACTGGGTCGATGATGGCAACTTTTGGCATAAGTTGTCATGTAACCCCCGTTAAGCCTCCAGTGTATGAGAGTGTTTATTTGCAATTTTGTGTTTTGAAGTCGAAACCCAAGATGGCTCTTCATAGAAAAAAGGAGGAGGCTTTATTGAACTGGGTAAGTTTTTATATTTCGGTAAAGTTCCATCTTTGCCATACGACTGTATGTTTTTTATAACTTGCCCGAAACATTTTTCTTGCCGTTTTGTTTTCACGTTTTCTCTTTCTGTTTTCAATGTGTCTCTTTTACCTTTGACAGATAAACAGTCTCCATTTGGACAGTCCAATAGACCACATATTCCTCTTACAAGATGGTGTCATTCTGGTGAAACTCATACATAAATTGTGAGTGAAATGATGTATATTGATACAAAAGTAGAACCAATAACCATTATTTTCTAAAGGTACATGTTTAAGACAATGTGGTATATCGGTGTACATTCTAACAGAAAGAAGCAAGAAATAGGAGTGGATGCTGTCTTGGAGCTGCCCCTGCAGGGAAGATTAGATTTTATTTCTGCATTTTTACAAAGTAAGGGCCACATGTCAAACATTGTGGTTGTTCATTGCTTGCTAGTTGTGTAATTTCTATTTGTGTAATCACTGTATATATGTCTAAAAACTTACCTGCACTCTAGAGGATTGCAGATACAAAGCTGACAGAGGTACCATTGTATCCTGGGACAACATTGTACTGGGCAAAAACCTTGATGTCGAACTGTCAAAGGTAATTTCTTTGTGGACTGATGTATATTTTTTTTCCAGTTGTGATGTGTTCAGTACTGGTTATCTCGATGTATGATTTTGCAGGTGGTCGTTCTGCTGTTGTACCATTCTCTCATGAACGGATTGCTGGGACTGGACAGGCTGGGCTATGACATAGAGGTAAGATGGCCCCTTTGTTTTTGTTTTCCGTCTTCTCAGGGCAGTACTGTAACCCAGCATGCTGTCTTCTGCATGCCTTTTCTCCTAGTTGGAGCTGGCTGATGTACTTCGCTTCGTTTTGAACAATGAAGACAGCCTTTACCTAAGTGATAATTTGGAGAAAATTCTCAAAAAGCAGTGTGAGTAACTTCATATGTAGAACAGCTATGATTCTTTGTGTACAATGTGCATGTTAGCCTTTCAAATACATTTATTTAAGTGGCTGGGGTATTTTTACATTTACAGTGTATCTAACTGGTAATATTTTTCCTGTCTCTAGCAATTTTTGATTTCTCCAGTGCATCCAGTTCGAGTTTCAGTGACGAGGAGTCGCCAGTTTTCTCCAGACGACGGAGGCCAGAAGTTCAGTTCCTGGAGCTGAAAACTGTGGCATCAAGTTCTGTTGGGTATAACGTTTTGCCTTCTATTTTAGTCATTTTATGGCTTGATACGGTGTGTGAATAGGGCTGCAACAAACTACTATTTTGATAGTTAATTAATCCATCGGTTATTGAAACTCTTATTTGATATCCGCTATTGACTTTTCAATTTAGCTTGAGGTTGTTTCATGCGTTTGCTAACAATCAAGACAATAAAGCTGAAAAGTTTATTCAAAAATGACCATTCCTTTTAATACAAAAGATTTTTAAAAAAATCCAATATCCATTCATCCTGTTAAAATTTAAAACCAAGGATAAGCAATGTAGCAGCAATTAAATATACCAAAAGATTTCAGTATTCCATAAATCAAGTAAACCAAACAATCCTTCAAAATTTAAATTTTTAATTTTAACAATAAGGATGTAAATGTGCATTCTGTGCTTTGTGCATTCTGCTGTCCATGTACACTCCATTGCAACTAAATTTTACAATCACAGTTCTGTATTAAAATGGAGGAAAGCCAGCATGTAAGGCTGTTTAAGGCAAAATTGCGCATACTGTACACATGCTGAATCGGTCCACACCACTAAAACACACACATACACTCAACATTCAACACATGACATCAGTATAACGGTATAGGCTGTTACAAAGCAGATCTCTCTCTCTCTGTTGGTACGCCTGTCACTTTCTCTCTCCCACACACAAACACACACTCATGTGCGTGTGCTCACTGTCAAAAAACTACAGTAGTAATTTCTGGGACACTATCATTTTGGGAGTCAGAGAGCCGCTAACAATATGTGGGAGACTCCTGGAAGTTCCAGGAGAGGTAGGATGTCTTGTTGACAATGTCCACATTACTAATTGCATGAATTATGACTTAAAATTCAAGATCATACTAAACACATTTGATTTTATCGGAATGTCAAGATGCTAGATAGACTGACTTAAGACGGCTATTTTGACCACCTAATGATGGAGATGATGGGAGTGTGCTACAACTCCAGCAAATCTCTCATGATTTTGTCTGACAATGGAAATGTTTCTGCAACAGTGAAATCGCTTCAGAAGTCGTTAGGTGTAATGCTGACATTATCCAACTCCTTAACAATTCAAGAGAATATGCATTTCAAAACAGAAAATGTTACAGCTCGTAACATGAAGTAGGATGGCTTTTAATATTAACATTAGCTAACTAGCGATAAGTCCTTTTAATTCAGAGAGCTGACGTGCTTCCTTTTCAGATGCTCTATTGTAGAGGATATGTTCCCATGTCAGATAATGTTAGCTTTACAAATTGTGCAACTGACAACCTTTTTTTTTGGAGTTTAGTGTGAAATGCTCCCACACTTTTGGTTTTTTGTTTTTCGAAGCTACCATCGTGCTTTGGTTAACTTCTTTCTAGTGAGCAGTAATATCAAAACATTGAGTTTGCGCTAGAAACACACGTGATGACGTCACCAACTAATCAACTATTAAATTATTTGGCTAATTTGGTCATCGATTTTGGTCGACTAAGTCGAATAATCATTGCACCTCCGACTGAAGTATTGGTCTGGTGTCTTCCTGATTCATAGATTTTGTGTTACTTAATGGATGACTGTGACCCTTGCCTAATACTTTGTGCTTTGCACCCTGCCACTCACAGAGGTACTTCTTGTTTTTGCAGGTCACCCATACAGGATGTACTAAACACGCCTCAGTTTCGGCTTAGGAAACTGCAGAAGCAGTTGGTCCAGGAAAGGGAGATGAGGGATGAGCTGGAACGAGAGTTGGCCAGCAGGAGTCAGGTCATCACAGAGAGGGGTATGGTTTTGTGATGCTGTAACTCGTGCTAGTGAGCATGTTAACAGTCTGGAGGAGACTGACTTGTCACACATTAGGGCTCTTGTGAGAGTGTGATTGGTCTGATATGTTTGTTTAGGACTTATTCAGTGCCTCTGAGTGTCTTGACATGTACTATCTACCAGCCCTTGGAAATATCCAGAATATTGCTGTTTGATTTGTATACTGGCATGTGCAGGATACTTCAAGGTGCTCCCCTGGGGATTGTGCTTGATCTCTTCTATCACAGAGATGCAGGTTTCCCAGCTTCAACACAGAGTCCAGAGAATGATGAGGGACAGTGAGGAACAAGAGCAACAGCCTAAGGAGATTGAGCAGCTGCAGAGAAAAAACGAAGGGTGAGGAGGAACTGGAGACCTGGAAAGGGTGCAGCAGTGAGGAACTGAGAAATGCGTGGGCCAGTCTGGGTAAACTGGGTTTTATCTGCAGGCTCTTGACTCGGTTGCATGATGTTCTGAAGCAATGCCAAGAACTGAAAACAAATAAAACTCAAATGGAGAGGAAGATTGATGACTTAACAGAAGAAAATGGAATTCTCTCTGTCCAGGTAAAACATGCAGAGCACTAACTAATAACCACATTCCAAGTCAAAATGCAGTAACCCTGATTATTAACCCTCTGGGGTCTAGGGGTAGGAAACACACTTTCACTGACTGGGGCATGATCACACATTTCTTCAAATCATAAACTTAATTCATGGCAAATTATTTCTTGTATATTTGTTTTGCCATTACAATGAACTATTTTACTGTATATTGTAAATATGTAATTTTTGTTAAGTTTGTAATTTGACATCAAAGTATAGACATTGCAAAATGCAGTTTGGAACACTTGCAGAAACATAATAAAAGTACAGTGGTACCTTGGTTTACGAGCATAATTTGTTCCGGAAACATGCTTGTAATCCAAAGCACTCGTATATCAAAGCGAATTTTCCCATTAGAAATAATGGAAACTCATATGATCCGTTCCACAACTCAAAAATATTCATATAAAAATTAATACAAAATATAAAGTAAAAATACATAAAACAAATTAACCTGCGCTTTACCTTTGAAAAGAATCGTGGATGGTGTGAGGGAGACGAGAGGAGAAGAGGAGGGTTATTTTGTAGGACGACTTTCATTATAATTAACGGAATCACTGCTATCTGTTGACTGGAATCTTTTTCTGTTTGTGCGATTTTAACAAGGAACCCATCCAATGACAGCCTCTTTTGCCTCCTTTTCGATTTCGCAAAAATGTGGACATTGCATTGTCGTTAAACAGATTTATCGCTCGCACTGCTACGCCCTTATTCAGGTGGTGCTTTTCTACTAAATTTTGACTATACGAGTGAGGCATGCCGACTGAGGCCGAGCATGGGAGACGATTACCCACAATTCCGCTGCGTGAGAAAGTGAATAACCATTGGTTCAGTTGTGATGACGTGCGCTCGGCGTCAAAACAAGAAGCACACGCATACGCTTCCTGTTTTGAAGCCGAGCGCACGTAAAAACAAGAAAAACAAGGAGCGCATGTGTGCCATATGATTTTTGATGATACTTGGCGCTCGTAAACCAGGACTTGCTCGGTTTCCAAGTCAAAATTTATAAAAAATCTTTGCTCGTGTTGTAAATACTTGTAAACCGCGTTACTCGTTATCCGAGGTTCCACTGTACATAGTACGCAATGCTGGCAGTTTGTTTTGATTCCAGATATCTGATCACCAAAGTCTTGGCTACATGAAGATGACTAAATGGTGTAGAAAAATCTAACTCATGCCACTAGTTCTGACTCCTTTCATTGAATATGTATCAACTTTCATGTGTATGAATGAGCCATTGTCACCTGGCCACGTCCCCCCCTTTTTATAGCTGGGATGTATCTGGATCGCGTTTCACCGTTGCGCTGTTTATCATATTACCATGCGAATGCGATTTGAATGCGCGCTAATGTGGCTATTTAGAATGTGAATAGCGATCTTCGGGTGAGAGCGGTACTACACGCCCCCGATGCAGGTAAAACAAAGTAAGGTGACATGGTTTACTTTTTTGCCGATTTTAATCTAATTTTAAAAACTTTAATACTTCTGACAATAGACGTTTTGAAAAGATGACAGATTACAGATTTAGCCAGCGTTTTTTTTTCATGATTCTACATTAAGATTTCAGCGAGATATAAACTGAAATGGACACAAAAAGTATGCTGCGTCACCGATGATGCACTCGACCCCAGAGGGTTAAAGATGATGGGTTTCTTGGCTCCTCCCATTCCAGATGCGAGAGATTTTTTCTCGCTTGTCAAGTGCTGAGGCAGCTGTGCAGAAACTGAGTGCAGAGCAGGAATCTTCACAGGTGGAATGGGAAAGTAAGAGAGGTCTTCTTGAGAGTGAACTTGGCCAGGCTCTCTCTCAAAAGGTAAGATATTTATTGGCTGCTTGTTTTGCCCTGTGTGAAGGGAGTGATTCCTGTTATGTCATTATTTGTTTGATGTACCTTCAGGAGTTATGTCGCTGATTCAGCCGCTTGGTGTTTTCCTTCTCCAGGAGTACTTGAATGAGCAAATCCAGATTCTGCAGGGGAAGATCTCCATTCTTGAGGATGAACTGAGCAAGGCAAAGGCTGAAACTCTGGGGGGAGGTGAAGTCATGGGTCCCATCATGGAGGTAATTCATTTTGTATTGCAATAGTCTACATTAACTCCATCTTGGAATTATTGAGTTGGTGTTTTCGAGATGCATGATTTGTGTCTAAAATTATATTGTTTTTTTTAATAGTGGGAACGACTAAACCAAGAGATTGCTGACTTGAATCATAAGCTATCTCAGCTTCAAGAAATCATCATTCAACTGCAAAAGGAAAAAAAAGAAATCGAAATGATGTATGAGGTAGAAAAGACCAAATTTGAGGCTGAGAAAGCTCGTTTAGAAGAGCTTGTATCTGAGCTGAATAAAATGCTGACTGTCCAGCGGGGTGAGAGAGAGGCATTGGAACAGGCCTTAAGGGAGCAACGGGTGTCACTGGAAGCACAGATCGAGGCCTTAACTGCAGATATTGCATCTCTGACAGAAGCTGTTCAGCAGAGGGAGTTGGCTGTGACTAATTTCAGTCAGAAAGTAGATGTGGAACGGAAGAGGGTGGAGAAGCTGACAGAGGAGATGGAAAAACAGGAACGGTTTGCTCAGAAAACAATCCAGGAACTTCATGAGAGGGTAGATCACCTGGGCTCTGTTCTGAATTCAAAGGAAGAGGAAGCACGTTCTAATGCAGAGGAGTGGGCTCGGGAAAGGCACGAGATCTCCCGCCAACAGGAGGTGCTGATGGAGGCCAGGGAGACCATTTCCAGGGAAAGGGATGCCATTGCCACAGAGTATCAGCATTTTCAGCAAGAGAAAGAAGAGGTTGCCTGCAAGCTGAACCAGCAGATTGTACTCCTGGAAGAACAACAGAGTGTGGAGTGGTCTCTCTTGTCAGAGCTCAGAAAAGAAAAGCAAGAACTTGAGCAGAAAGTTTCATCTATAGAAGCTATAGTGGATAATCTCAGAACTAGATGTCACGGCTTGGAGTTGGACAGTGAGGCACAACGAGCCAGCCACCAGGAAGAAGTGGAGTCTCTGAAGAGAAAGTTGCATGAAGCAGAAAGTATCCTTGGAGTTTATGAAGGAAAGCTGGCTGATCATCAAAAGATTGTTGAGGAGCATATAGCTCTTCGTGATGAACTCTCTGCTGCAGCAGAATGTGCTAAAGGTTTAAGGGATGAGCTGGAAGTGGAGAGAAGCAAACATAAAGAGACCCTTGCAGCTAAGCTCCAGAGCAAATCCCAAATGATGGAGGAAATGAGGGAGCTTGAAGAGAAGACACAGAATATGTCTGTGGAGATGCAGCACCTGGGCCAGCAACTGAGCAAAGTGCAGCAGGAGAAAATGCGGGTTGACGCCAGTATGGCAAAGCTGATTGAGGAGGGCAGAGAGGTGGAAAGGGGACTAACTGCTGCACGTGATCAAGCTTTCCTCACAATCAAGGAAAGAGAAGCAGAAACATCAAAGTTGAGGTCAGAGGCTGAAGCTCTATCAAGCAAGGTGATTTTGGCAGAGGAGGCCAAAGCTATCGAGTTAGCAAAAAAAGATGACGAAATGCAGGTTCTGTCTAAGGAGATGAAGCAAATTCAGATGGAACTGGGAACTGTAAAGAAAGCTAAAGATGATATGGAGCTTGATCTGCAGTCCAGTATTGAGAAACGGCAGGAACAACTTCTAGTGCTGCGCTTTCAGATGAATGAGTTGGAAGAATCCGCAAATCAAAAGGAGACTGAAATTGAGGTTTTGCAGACCAAGCTTTCTAACAAAGATGAAGAATTAAAGGCTTTTTGTCTTCATGAAAAAGTTGAAAGGGAGGAACTGCAAAGACAACTTAAACAGGAAGAAGACAGATGCTTAATGTACAAACAAGAAATAGTTGTAAAGGACAAGGAGGTTAACTTCTTGAAAATGGCAATGGTGGCAAAAGAGGAAGAAATAAATTCATTAATGCAGAGCATCCATTCTGGGGAAGAGAAGGCTTCAGCTTTTCAGGATCTACAGGAGAAAAGGCATGAGGAGCAAAAGCAAGCCATATCTACTCTTGAAATTAGGTTATCTGATGCTCATAGACTGTTAGAGGAGAAGGCCTCTTCCATTGAAATGCAGACTAGTCAAGTTATGCAGTTGCAAAGGGATTTGTCTACTGAGCAGGAACGGGTTGTTTCTTTGGAGCAGAGTATGAAGGTGTCAGACGATGCCCTCATACACTGTAAATTGGAGAAAGAGGCCCTGAAAAATGAGGTTACCTCCTTGCAAGAACTTGCTGAAAAGCTTAAGGGAGAACTTGAAGAGCTGAAGAGAGAACATGAGAACCTGAGACTTCAAGTTGCAGAAACTGAGACTCTGCATAACAAATCTGAAGAGAGGATTGCTCAGCTTCAAGCCCGGTTAGGGACAGCATCTGCTCTTGCTTCTGAGAAGGACTCTCAGCT